AACCTACAAATGCTACCATGCACAAAATAAAAGTTAAGAATTAGCAATAAATACAATAATTTTAATTTTTTGTTGACTGTGAACTTACGAACCAATTATCTAACATAAAACAAAAGAACCACTAATCTGAACAATTTGAGTGACAATAATGATGATGATCATCATCATCATAACAACAACAACAATAATAATAATTGGTTACGGTAGAGCCTGGAGCGACTTGAAGATACGGGTCACCTTTTCCAAGGAATATCGCTTTACTTATTGTTAGACCATTTAGAAATTGACAGCGGAGGGAATCAATGATTCTTATTCGATCGAGTTCTAGCTAGCAACATGTTGATTACACATCAGCCAAGCATAAACTGAAGAAGGAAAACTGAAATTTTTCCTTAAATGAAAGAAATCCGAATACAGTACCGCGCTCTTACTTGACTTCCTCACTTTCCTGAAAGTAGGAAAAACCCAATCCAACTCACTCCGAGCTGTGGAGCAGTCCTTGGACTGTTGAATAGAATCCAACCACATCGGACTGCTCTGTTACGAAGTGCTTTCTCCTTTTTTTCTTGATTGGCTTCTGTATTGAGATCAGTTCCTGGCCCGATGTCTTCGTCAAATATCGCATGCATAACAACCCCCGGGATTCGAGAGAACCTAAGCACACTAGAGCTAAAAGGAAAGAAAGAATTATAATATTAATAATAATATTATTATTGTTCTTCACTAAAAAAATTCCACTTCCTTTTTTCACAAGGAAAAATGCACTAGTAGTCCCTAACCTTTTCATTTTTTGCAGATTTTACCATAACTTTTATTTTGTGCCAAGAAGGTCCCTAACATTTCATAAATATGCACCCGAGATCCATCTGGACGGAAACCGTCCAAAACACAGTCAGTTGACATGAAAAATTTCTTGAACTATCTGCTACTGTGATAGTTTTATTGGATGTTGATACCTAGCTGGACGGTGTTCTTGGACGATATTTTGGACGGTTTCTATCCAAACAGATCTCAGGTGCATATTTATGAAAAGTTAAGAATCTCTAACGACACAAAATGAAGATTATGATAAAATTTGTAAAAAATGAAAAGATTAGGGATTGCTGTTGCAATTTTCCCTTTTTCACAGGTACTCTTGCAGAAGTTAGTATCGCTTAGAAAGCCTGAAATATCTAATGTTACTGGAAATCATTGTTGAGCAACAAATTGTTGAGGTAAAACAACATTGAGGAGACGGCTTAAAAGTATACTTCTTTGGCGCCAATGCCAACGGCATTGCAAATGCTCCTTCTCAAAGGTAATCAAAATTTCCATCAACCTGCAAATAAATTGAACCAGGAAGCAGTTGGTGATATTCAATAATGCCACAGTTAACATCATTGAATTCCACAGTAGAATCACTTTGTGATGTGAAAATTTTAATAGAAGCATTGAGGCTGATTTTATCACATCCACTCGAAATATACTACTATTGTCTCAGCTCAAAAGTTCTTCAGCTATGCGCTACGTTAAAATCCAGAAAATTTGGCCATCTGGGTCACAGTCACCTCATAACAAATGGGATTCCTCTAAACACCTTCCTAACCACCAAACTGATCGTGATTTACGCAAAAATTAGTGATATGGAAAGTGCTCATGAACTGTTCAATGGAATGCCTACGAGGGACCCTTAGACTGCAATGATATCCGGTTATCCTCAAAAAGGAGATTCTGAATAAGCGTTGAAGATATTTTCTGCCATGCACAAGGAAGGCGTGAAGGCAAATCAATTCACTTACGAGAGTGCATTGAGTACACTAATTTAATGTGTTTGGATATAGGGAAGCAAATATAGGGATCTGTGTAGAAAGGTAGGTTTGCAGAGAATTTGTTAGTTTTGAGTGTATTTGTTGATTTGCATTCAAAGAGTGGGAAAATGAAGGATGCCTATTGTGTCTTCCAGTCGATGGAGCGGAGGGACTTGGTCTCTTGAAACAAGATGATTGGGAGAGATGTGGTCCAGGGGTTCAATGAAGATGCTTTTCTAGTGTTTCGTATGATGCTCCAAGAAGGTAGGCCAAATATTTGTAGTTCATGATGATAATGGTTTGTTTCTATTGTTTGTGCAGTGTCATATGTTAAAAATGACAATGAAATTTGGTTTAGGAAACAATAGGCTTATTTAGTGATTTGTTACTAGTAGTATCATTTCTCAAATTACTTCTTCCTTATGGTGATCCAATTTTAGGTAGGCAAGGCTCCTGACTATAGCTTTGGAAGAGTTTTGAGTGCCTCTGTTGGAAGCGGAGGGGATCATGAAAGTCAGCCTTTTTCATGGATACATCATTCAGCTCGGCTTTGGATCACATACATCTTTATGCAGATCCTTAATTGATGCCTATGTAAACTGTGGAAGCACAACCAGTGCGAATCAAGTGTACAGGTTTATGCAGTACAATGACATAATATCATGCACTGCATTGATAATGTGTTGGAACTTTTCAACGATGCACATAGAAATGTGGGAATTGATGATGTCTTGTCGTGTTCCATGCTTAACATCTGTGCTAATATGGCATCACTGAACTTGGGAAGATAATTTCTTGCTAAGGCAATGAAATATCAGAACCAGCATGATGTGGCGATAGGCAACGCTCTCATTGACACGTATTCATAATCAGGAGTACTTGAATTCGCCAGATGTGTTTTCGATGAGATGGAGTATAAAAATATTATTTCGTGGACATCATTAATCACTGGTTATGGTAAACATGGCTATGGACACCAGGCAGTTGCACTTTATGAAAAGATGGGAGATGAAGGACTGAAGTCAAATGCCATAACATTCTTGTCTCTTCTCTTTGCTTGTAGCCACAATGGTTTAACTGCCCACCAATGGGATTGCTTTAGTAATGTGGTTAGCAAACACAACATCTTGCCAAGAGTTGAGCATTATTCTTGTTTGGTTGACCTTTTTGCATGCACTGGTCGATTGGAAGAAGCTTATGACGTAGTTTTCAAAATGGTTACTGAGTCTAATGCCTCAGTTTGGGGTGCCATTCTTAGGGCATGCAGCACCCATGGAAATGTGATTCTTGGAGAAATAGCTGGAGGAGTCTGTTTAACATGGAACCTGAGAACGCAGCAAACTATGTGGTTCTATCAAAAATGCGGGACAATGCAAGGAAGACACAAGAATTGATGGAAGAGAAAAGTTTGTTGAAAAATACTGGATACAGCTTATTTCAGTCCTTGATTATGACAACGATCTTTTGGCAACAAGTTGAAATAACATGTTTCAACATTTTCTTTTAGTAATTGACTATAAAGCTAGGAATCTCTTGTACATTTTACATTTTTCTACAAATTTGATTGCTTTAGTTATTATTCATAAAAATTATATGTAGGTATAAATTGTCTTAAATGTATTGCTTTCTACAAGGCTCAACCTTGTCATGTCACTTAAGCTACGATACAGAACTACAATAAATGCTTAGATCTCCCAAGTTCTTCTTTTGGTCTTAAGCTTGTTAATTGAGGGTTGCTAAAGCATTTCCCTTTGCACTGTGTCTTCTCAGATTAAAAAAAAAATGCACCAAGTATATATTGAAGAATGTCCCATAGCCAAAATTGACAGCATAAGTGGACTTGAAGATCAAATAAGGCGATGCTCACCAGCTTCAAAACAAACAACTTGCGATCTGGTAATGCAGCTAGAATAATATCGACATGCACACGTTTTGCCTCTTCATCATATTACTCAGTCTCAAAAAACTTGGCCCATGGCTAACCTGGATTGCATGAGTTCTTGAATGCTCCAATATTTAAATGCGTGAGCAAAGTTCTTTGACTTCTTCCAAGCTCTTCTTCGTGGGCCATTATCAAATCATACCATTTCCTTAAACATTTGCTCCTATCGGCAGCAATGAGTTTGCCTTAAGCTTCACCAAATTAAAATTGATATATAAGGGAGATGTAAATTTTTAAGACTACTTGAAATTCAATTTTGATTGAGCTACAAGAATTAACATTAAGATCTCGTGTTGAGTACCAGATCTTATGTGCAGAAATCTAAGAATAGACAAACCATATTGAATACACATTGCAAAATAATGATACCTTTTCATCTTATAAAAACTTCTTTTCTTTTTCCTATTTGTTAAAAAGTGATTATTGTCATTGTAGTGATGGAAAAACACTTTCATGAAATGCATTAATAAAAATGGATTATCAGCATAATTTACAACTTAAGCATTTATAAATTTTTATGAGACCACTCATAAAACACATAGTAAAACTGCTGACTGGAGAGAAATTCTCTTTGAGGGGAGAGATATAGAACAACTATGGATCATTTTGTTCCTATTCTGTAATGCTATTAGTTCTGTACCTGCTGTGTCTTGACAATGGGGCTGGAGTTTGATGCCTGTAAGGTTGATTTCCACCTCCGCCAAGTCCAAAACCGGGCTCAGTTTACCAAAACATCGACACCACCAAGGTTGAGACAACTCCAAAACCACCACTGCCGCCCCCCACTCCGGTTGCTATAGGTTGGAGACGGAGAAG